TGCCTTCATAGGCATTAGAAAGAAGTCTTTTAAGAATTTAGTAAATAAGATAAAGAAAAAAAAAGGTCTTTCTGGGGATAGTTGCAAGATGCAGTTAATATACTCTAAAATTCACCTTTATTTCTTAAAATATTCCGGAGAGAGATGGTGCAGGATAAAAGCAATTGTCTTGCATGTGGCCAACCCTTGTTCTAGTTTCTTGTACTATATATGGTACCCAGAGGACTGCTAGGAGTCACTCCTGAGCACAGAGCCAGGAACCACCCCCCGAGAACCACTGTATGTGACCTAACCCCAAACCCCTCAAAACAAATTTTAAAAATTTGATTGTAAAATATAATGATTTTTTTTGTTTTCACATAGCTGGCCAGTTATCACCATTTTCAGCTCCTCAAAAAGAAACCCTGTATCTGTCAGAAGTCCTGGTCCATTTGGTGACTCCCCTTTTCATAGACCTGTTATTCATAAGTCTATTTTCTGTTTCTATAGTTCTGTGTATGTGGACATTTTATATAAGTAGAATCATATAACCTGTGTTCTTTGTGACTGGTCTCATTTACTTGGTATGTTATTTCAATACTTATTCATGTTATAACATGCACTGCTTCTTTTGTGAGGTGGTTGTGGGGTGGCATCTGTCAATGCTCAGGAGTTACTTGTGGCTCTGTGCTCAGGATCTAAATCTGGTATGTGGTTCTGGGGTCGAACTGAGTTAGCTACATGGAAGGTAAATACCTTAACACCTGTACTATTTCTCCTGCCCCAAATTGCATTGCTTTATAAGATTCGACAACAATAAAAATGATAATTTATGGTGAGAATATACCACTCAGTTTTTCACCACTTAGTGAATACATGATTGTTTCCATGTCGAGCCATTAATAAAGGCACTTTTCATTTCTTGAAAGTTTGTTACACCACTTTGCTTTCGTAGAAGAACTATGTTAATGACGAATTTCTCTAATGAAGAGGAAGACTTAACTTTTACAATGATGAGTAAAAAAATGAAAATGGCATTCTGCATTTGTTTTTGTAGTAGCTCTTTTAGAGGTAGCCTGCACACAGAACAGTGAGAGTGACCCTACCAAACTATTACAACAGGAACTCTAATTTTACTGAATGTAAGTTTTCTATATAAGTCCATGCTTTGGTTAGATGGTATTATTATAGGTTTTTTGTGTTATTTGGTGTGAGAAGATTTTGAATTTGGGAACACTAATTTTTTTTCTAGAAATGATTCATAATTGTATCTTTATAACACTTCATGTTATGAATGTTTTCATAGGAGCACTGTATGTTCAGATGTTGGGATAGACTGATATTTAAATGTGGCTTATTGACGCTGGGAAGAGAGAGTCTTGTCTGCATATTGCTTACATGGCTCAATCTCTGGTACCACATGTGGTTCCCCTAGTATCACTAGGAGTGATCCGTGAGCACAGAGCCAGGAGTAATCCCTGAGCACAGTCAGATATGCCCACCAAAACCTAAAATATATAAATTATATATGGCTTATGGACTTACGTATACAAGTTTATATATATATATATATATATATATATATATATATATATATGTTGGGTATATGCATGAAGTAGATTTTCTAGGTTATATATTTAAATTTTTGAGGGAGGGGCTGCTAAGTTGTTTACTAAAGGACCGCTTATCATTTTATGTTTCCACCAGTAAACCATTAAAACGCCCATTTCTCCACATTTTGTCCATTATTTGTGTTTTTATTGTGCCTATCACGATTTTGAATTGCATTTCCCTGGTAACTAATCATAACTGAATTTTTTTTCAAGAGCACTTTCCTTGGAGAAATGTCTATGTAATTCTTTGTTTTTTTTATTTTTTTCTTGTGGATGGGGGCACACCTGACAGTACTTGGGGCTTACTTCTGGCATTGTACTCAGGGATCATTCCTAATAATTATTGGGGATCATATGAAGTGCTGGGGACTGAACCTCCCATGCAAGTCAGTCACTTGCATGGGAGGCAGCCTACCCACTGTAATACTGTACTGTCTCTCCAGCCTCTAATTTTTTGTCCATTTTTAAGTTGTGTTTGATGAATTGTAAAGTTCTTTATAGTTTGGGGTACAATTCTCATCATAAGTATGATTTGCAAACTCCCTCTCTCTGATCCTTCCTTCCTTTCTTCCTTACTTCTTTCAGGGAGCAAGAAAAGAAAAACTTCAAAAAAGAACACAAGTTTTTTCAGAGAATAGCCCCATTAGATAAATGAAAGGCTTTACAGTTTATCTGCTATTTTCTTTGCTGCTTGTGTTTGCTGTTATATTTAAGAAAACATTCTCTGGGTCATAATACAGGAGGCACAGCAGTTATCTTGCACAGGGTCACTTCCACTAACTCATAAATTCTTAACAGCATATATTCTCCCCCAAACACCACCAGAACTGATTCCTGAGTACCAAGCCAGGAATAATTCCTGAACATTTCAGGGTGTGGCCCTGAAACAAAACAAAACTGCCTAACACAAGTTCAGAAAGATTTAATTTCATATTTTCTGAGCTTATATTTAGCTTAAATATTCATGTTTACAATCTATTTTGGCTTAACATTTATTTCTGAATTCTCACTTCTATTCCATTGTTCTGTATTTCTTTGAGAACTTTTTTTTAAAAAAAATAAATCATTTGGTAAATGGATGAGAGGAAATTATTCAGAGTCACAAAATGCAGAGTACATATCATGGATGGAGATTTGAGGATCAGTTTTTCAAAATGGGGAAATATTTCCTAAAATGAGAATATACACATCTCACACAGAGAGGTGCATAAATATGCCCTCGACTAAGAAAGTGCACATCAGGGAGAGATATAGACAAATACCTCTTTTAGAAATTTTAATCTATGATTTTCTTACTGAAAAGGTGCTAGGGAAAGTGTAGAGATAGGTTAACAGGGATACACTTGCCTGGCACAGCGTGATGCAAGTTTGGTCCCTTGGAGATCCATTATGTATGGATCTCCAAGCATCACCAAATGTGATCCCTGGACACCACTGGGTATCACCCAAGAACAAACAAACAAAAATAGATGTTAGGTAAGTGTTTTTGATAGCCAGAGAGGCAAAGAAATCAAGGAAGTACACATGGATGGCTGGTTTTAAAAATTGGAGAGAATATTCAAAGTTATGATCACTTAAACAGTTTTGCTGATGCAAAAAATAGCATCTTAAGTTTAGATTGTAGAACATATGCATAAAGGGGTAGAACTCATCAGGTTCAGAGTTGGTCTCAGAACTCACATGTCTTGATCTTCTAAAATAATGATTGTTGTTATCATTATTAGTTATTATTATTACCAGGCCCTGAATCTTGGGTTCTTTGAACCATACCCCAAGTCTGCCTGAAGGCCTCAACCGAACTAGTGAAAGTCTGCCTTCATCGATTTCTGTTCCGCAGAAGAAAGTGGGGGTGGTAACATGTGTTCTTGCACAGCCTAAGAGAAGTCAGTAACAGAAAAGCATTTGAAAATCTGAAACTGTGATATAAATGCCACTAAATTATGATGGATAGCTTGATTATGTTCTCAGAGGTTCAATATGTCACAGGTTGCATAATGTAAAAAACTAGCTTTTTAAAAACATGTTTTTATACTTATATGGCTATTTCTTTGCAAGAGGGAAAGAATATTGAGAGCTGAAATTTTAATATATTAGAGAAACTTTGGGATGACTGGATGACTGGACAGATTTAGCCATGGGGTACCCCATTAACTCCTCAGAGACAACTCAAGGTGATGAAAATTCTTGCCTGACTTTTCCAAAACAGGGTGCATGCAGAGCCAGGCAACTGACATGATTAGGAGCATATAGATGGCTTTTTTTGGTGGTTTCTCCACGCATCTTTTCTCCCCAGAGCATCTTTGTGCGTCTTTAATTTTTACTAATAGTGATTAACAGTGATTAACTCAATATATCACATCCATGAAGGGAGATTTGTCTGGAAGCAGGCATGAGAGTGCTTTTCCCTAAATTGTTAGTCTCCAGATGACAGACATTGCTTCATTGACCCTTCCGTACAATAATGGGCACATGCTTTTTCCATGGTTAATGAGACTAGGAGATACCTAGGGTATCGTGCTCTCCACTCCAGCATTGTCTCTGATATCTCTTTCTTCCTGTGTTTATAATTGTTTCCTTGTCTTAGCTTCAGATGAGTTCACCTTCTGATCCATATCCCGAGGGTGCAAAAAAAGCACAGTAGAAATGATGTTTGTACCTATATGTTCATTGCAGCACTGTTCACAATGGCCAAAATCTGGAAACAACCCAGGTGCCCTAGAACAGATGAGTAGTTAAAGAAGCTTTGGTACATCTATACAATGGAATACTCTGCAGCTGTTAGGAGAGATGAAGTCATGAAATTTAAGTGGATAGACATGGAGAGTATCATGCTAAGTGAAATGAGTCAGAAAGAGAGTGACAGACATAGAAGGACTGCATCCATGCCTTATTTTTAAATTCTGGGTTCCTGTATTTGCAGTTTAATCATATCTTACTTTGAGACTTGAAGTTGTGTGTTGTTCTTACCTGAGTCATTGATATAGACTGCATGCTAAAATCACTGCTATATGTTTTTGCCCTGGTAGTTATAATCTCCTTTTGAATTTGAGAACCACTGGTATCAGTCCTTCACTGCAGTGTCATCCCACTTGCTAACTGCTATCTGGAAAGGAGAACTTGAGAGACCTGTATTTTGAAAGAGCTCCGGTGGATTTGATTTGAAATGAATGAAAGAAAAGAAACACCATGATCACTGCTTCTTAGTGCCTATACAGCATGAGTACCTGTGTTCTGTGATTTCCCTGAGACAAAAACTAGATGAAGCTGTGACTTTACAGATCTGAGTGCTAAGTCTCTGTCTCTCCCTCAAGTTCTGTATTTTAAAGCACCTGTGAACATATGCCTATTCTCTTTGTTGTATGTATACTTACTCTGTGTATCTCATCCTGTGATTTTTCCCATATCTAGGGCTCTGGCTGATATCTTAAGACAACAGGGACCAATTCCCATAGCACACTGTGAAAGAGAAACTATATCGGCTATTGATACCTCTCCCAAAGAAAACACACCAGTCAGATCATCCTCAAAAAATCACTACACCCCTGTGCGTACAGCCAAACAGACTCCAGGTAAGTGAGATGTGCTTGTCTTTGTTGATGATGGTTTGTTGAGAGGTTTCATGATGTTTCTGGTCTGGGGGGCACTTAGTGGACCCTTGTTGTAAAGAGTCTGATTTGTAAATGAGTAGGTAGTTATTTGCTTGGGAAAGACCACTATTGATGAGTTCTCGGTCGGATGAGAGCTGATTTTAGTGACAAGCTGAACTCTATTTCCTGCTTGTGGCAGCCATGGGAGAGTACAACCACTTAGCCGTCTGTGTGGTGGGATGGATTTGGCTCGCTAGGATACAGATATGTGACAAAAAATAACCTTATCCAGATATAGAATGGCATTCATATTTTGGAATCTCAATAAACACCTCTCAAGTATCAAAGTGATTTCTTGGGAGACCCTTCCCATTGCTGTGTAGATTTCCTTATTGAATGATGAATTGCCATGTAATAATGTACCATCTACTTCTTATTTGATCCTTATTATGACATACAAGTGGAACTGCATATTATTTCTTGTTGTGTGAATTTATGCTTGAGTCTCAGGGAAACTTAGCGACTGAATAAGATCATCAAAATGTGAGTAACATAAAGAATCAGTAATAGAAAAAATATAAATTCACATATTATGGGATATTGTTTTATGCTGGATATTTTGCATATATTTTCTTATTTATCACAGCAATATTTTAAATATTTTTATTTTGTATAAGGAGTAGAAAGACTTAGTAATTTTTACATTGTCAGGACTGGAGTAATAGCATAGTGGGTCGGGCATTTGCCTTGAACGCGGATGACCTGGGTTTGGCTCCCAGTATCCCAGATGGTCTGCAGAGCACTGCCAGGAGTAATTCCGGAGTGCAGAGCCAGGAGTAATCTCTGTGCATCGTCAGGTGTGACCCAAAAAGCAAAAAAAAAAAAAATTCACATTGTCAGTATGAAAGAAAGCTCACTTAAGAACTATGACATATACATAATAATAGTCAAAAACTACAAAACCCTAAGAGCAGCACTGCTATGGAGGTGAATGTTAGATATTAATTAATCTTCTTATAAGTACAGCTGGAAAATCACATCTTATTGTGAGAATTATCACAACACTAATCTCCAGCTTCTACTATGAAGTTTAAATCTAAAGTTTTCATTTCCATTGCCCATTTTATCAAAGAGGAGTTTATCAAAGGAGAAGTAAATCTTCAATCATGATATGAAGCTGATAGATGGCAGAAAGTGTGTACCAAGTGCAAAACTATATAGATATGTACTTCTAAAAACAAATTTATTTTCCACTCAATGGAAAAGTTAGTCTTAATATTATAATGACAGAGCCCTTTAGTTAGCAGAGTCAAACCTTTCAGAATTTGGTAGATGCTAAGCCAATATTGCACAGAACTTAATAGAATCTTTAATATGTCAGGGATTCTTCCTAAGTTACATATTAAATCCCTGATTTAAAATTAAATAGATGTATTGCAAAATCAAAGATACATTTTTAGACTTGATAGTAGGTATTTTTAAATGTAGGCAATAAATAGAAGGAATCTTGGTGGAACCATCTTCACCAGAAGATAGTTACCTAGCGGCACAATAGAATCACATTGGGAGCTCCTAAAATTGTGGATTTCTGGGACTCACAAATTACTCTAGACATGAAGACAGACTGTATCATTGATTCTTGACCTTCGATTCACTCTGTTATCTAGATTACCCTGGAAGTTTATCTCCATTCCTCTGTGCTTAAATTTTCCTAGTTTAATTCAGGAGGCAGGTAAAAGGTAAAAGGTAAAGGCCCTCCCGTTGATCGTCGATTTGCTCGAGCGGGCCCAGTAACGTCTCCATTGGAGACTTTGTTGTTACTGTGTCTGGCATATTGAATACTCTCGGTAGCTTGTCGGGCTCTCCGAGAGGGGCGGAGGAATCGAACTCGGGTCGGCCATGTTGGCCGCTTGTAAGGCAAACGCCCTACCCGCTGTGCTATCGCTCCAGCCCAGGAGTGCTATCGCTCCAGGAGGCAGGTAGGTTTCAGATATTAAATCCAGACAGATTTGAGTGGGAAGTCTTGAGTTGCCATTAAGTGTCTTTCACAGTCTGGAGAACTGTGAAAGTTGTTTGGGCTTTGTATGTATTCTTTCCTTCTGTGATTACTGGGGGGAGCTTATAGAAATATGATTCCCACCTGTGTTTTAAGAAATCCCAACCTGTATGTCTTTTGGGAATCTTTATATGGAGTTAGCTGGAATTGTTCCCCTGGGTCAGAAAGCATTCTTTTGGCGATACCTAAATCTAAAATACATTAAAAGAAAAACCTAGGACATCTGCTACATGTAATAGACACACCGCTTTTCCAAGTAGCTGATATCTTTTACCACAAACTGCTGCAATTTAGGCAAAAATTTTAACAGAGATTTTTGCTTAAAATAGAAATTGACTGTGATTTTGCCATTGTCAAATAAATAAACCACCTAATTTAGGAGTCCAATGAAGTTTTTTTGTGGGAAACTTTTAAACATTACCCAGAAATGCATGTAATCTGAACAGCTTTAGCTCTATGTAATCTGAACAGTTTTAGTCCCAGACATTGTTCTTGAACAGTAGCATCAACGTCTTCAAGGAGTTTCTGAGAAAAGAAAAATCTCTGGCCCCATATCTCACACTGGATAAGAGTGAAATCCCTTGGCAAGTGATTCCTAATAAGTTTGGAAAGACATGTACTCTAAAATATGCCCGTCTTTACTCTCTCTTACTTATGCCTAATATGTATGCAACCTCGGTAAGTTTCTTTTCATCCATAATTTTTCACATCAGCTATTGAAGTTGAGTATATATATCCAGGTTTGTTATAGGGATATGAAGAATTAGAACAATTAAAACAGGTTTTTACAAATAGAAAACCCGAATGTTAGCCCTGATTGGATTATAGGTGTATGTCCACAGTGTACGAAAATAAATAAAATAAATGAGAGAAGGAAAGACATTTGTATCCCTAGACTAGCACTGGCCATGTGGTTGTTCCTGGAATGAAAGCTCCAGGACCCAGTTCATCTCTTGTATGGCCGTTTCTATCACACATCCATTAAGGGCAAACAGGGTTTGTAAAGCTCAATCAGACCTTTTGACATAATATTTAAATTTTTTAAAAAAGTATATTACAGAGCCGTGCTTATTTGATTTAGGAACTAGGGTAAGTATATTGCCTTCCAGATAATAAAAACAATGATGTCCCAAGTACATTTATTGAGCACCAGCTATGTGTTGGACACATACAAACATATATAGATACGTTTTATTCATAATAGAGAGTAGATCATGTAACAGTTTTTTAGGTGAGGAACTTTTTATCCCATATTAGTAGAAAATTTATTTTATCGTCTATACATTTTTGTTCTAATTTTTCAGAAGTCCCTTTCCATCATTAAAGGGAACTTTGTAATGGACAATGACTTTGGCTATAGGAAAATAGTAAAGTTTATTTATGTCCCTATCCCTGAGACATAAATTTGACTCCTCTGAACCCTCATTGCTCAAACTGTGGTCCATGCAAGAATATGAACTGTATCTTGTGTGAACTTATCAGAAATGCAGAATCTTGGGTTTAACTTCAGACCTACTGAATTATCATGCACATCTTAAGAGAGATCCCCACTTAATTTGTGCCATATTAGAGAGCTGAATACTACTGAAACACAGTGATTCTCAGTCATTGCTGTACAATTCTGAAAGTTCTAATATCTGTCTCCACCTTCATGATTCTGATTTAATTAATGTGGGGTGGAAAGTGAGAATTGATATTTTTCAAAAGCTTCCTGCATAGTTCTAGTGCTCAGCACAATTTTGAGAATCAGAACTGAGAGGGAGACTCTAGATAGAGGCTGTCAAATAAGGAAAATACCTTAAATAATTTTGAAATCAAGATACATAAGAGTGTGCAAGGCTGAGCATGGCCGGTGATCCAAGTTAGTGAGTTGTAAGTACCTTTCTGAGGTAGGTGACCCCTAACAGAGAGGTGAACATGGATCCATTAGAAGTTTGAAGCTATGAATGGGGAAACCTGGCAAAGAACAGGCATAAGTAGAGATCTTAGAAAATAGTTTATTAAAAGTCAAGCAGAACTAGGCATTAGGAAATGAACTGTTTCCAGAATAATAGGTTCCCTAAGCCTACGGAATCACAGGCTTTCTGTGGACTCAGTTGGTATCCATGTGTTCAGGAGAAGGTTGGAGACCTAGTCCATTTACCTAATCTGATTCAATGCTATGGAAGTAGTGCAATAAGAGACTATGGAACCAACTCACTTAGCAACTAAGGGGAAATAGTGATTTATTTTTAGAGGTAGCAGTGCCAACATGTATTGGGTTTCAATGTGCAAAGTTTTGTTATTCAAATTATCATCATCAAGAGTAACCCTGGGCTAGTGTTTCAAAGTGGGTGATGCTACTTTCCCCATTGCTGGAGCACTGTAGTTATGGGGCATAGCCTCAGGTGCAATTGGGGTGCACTAAGTAGTTAAAAATTAGGAACTATGATTTGTAATTCTTTCAGGCACCGTGATTTATATTTCTTTTAATTATAGAGATTCCATTTTACACCAGTCCAACTTTAAACACACCTCTCATGTCAGCCATGCTCCACAAGAAAAGTATTTTTTTTCCTATGGAAAGGGACAAGTAAGCCATATAAGTTTGGGAACCTCTGAGCTGGAAGAAATAAATATTTGTGTCTTAGCTGTATATAGTGTTATTTGTTTAAGTGGGCATCAGTCATCTTGCTTCTTGTTAAAGCTGTGTACTTTAATGGAAGACTTAAAAAGCCACAGGGCATAATTCACGGAGACCAAGACTGAGCTAACAGAGAAGCTCTTTGCCATGGCTTTGTATGCTCAGCCTTAATAATCTATACCTCCTGATCGCTTAACATCTACTCCTATAATTTTCACTTTTCACTGGAAATCATATATGTGAACCTTCTTGCCATGTGTGTCTTATCATTAAGTATTACCATTTCTCTGCTTTGTGGTTGAA